CTTCAATTTGATAAAGAAGGTTCAATAACTGGTCTCAAAGGGTTACCAATAAGCTTGACCAATCCGCTTGTTCCTCGATCATCTTTTTGTCATTGCTTATGGAAGTTAGTTTAATCAAAAAGCTCACACTTTTTCTTACACCGAATTTGGCAAAGATAATTTAGATTTACTGCCAAGAAGATATCATTGTTGCTGAGAAAACAAACAAGGATTTCACAGAAACCATACAGAAAATGATAATTAGAATTTGGCAAAGATAATTTAGATTTACTGTCATTTTGATTTACTGACAGAAACCATAAAGAAAATGATAATTAGAAGGTCCCAAACCTCAGGCCAGCTTCCTTCTGAGCATAATATTGGATCTCTTGCTAACAGATCCGGTACTTTTCGAAGAAGGAAGAAGAACTAAACAGCGACGATACCAATAACCATGAAAGGCACATACAACATTAGCAGTCTGTCTGATGCCTTCCCCGAACCTATCATCTCTCCGAGGATCGCAGCCTAAAAGATTCATGGAAAAATGCATGAGAAGAAGAAGATGATACAAATAGGCACATAGTCAAGCAAGAATACGGCCAATGCATAAACCATTAAGTCCACATGAATTCAGAAGAGATATAAGAAGAAGAGTAGGTTACTACTAGGTTTGTTTTTCCATATTGCAGAGAAAAGAAACACTCACATTGAGAAGATTAAGATCTAATCAACATACTTGAAAAAATTGAAATCTTTCTCTCATCAAATACAAATTGACAATAAAGATAAAGATTGAATAACTAGTAGACCTGTGTTTACTAATCAAAGTAAAGAAAACAAAATCTCTCCCCAGAAAAAAAAATCCAGAATTCCAGAAAATGTAGAGACAGAACTTGAAAAACAATGTACCATTGAAGTGACGAGGGAAGCTCCATACAACAAGCAAGTGGTACCAAACCACGACTTCCCGGTAAGAATCGCGTAAACATTAGCAATCGAGATTGGCCATAGAAACAAAAGCTCATGCCAGAAAAGTCCAACGACGAAATACGGTTTCTCAATGAGCAAGTAATCACCGAAATCGGAAATGTAATTGCTTTTCAGATCGGTGAGAAACTCCGGGAAGATTCTTTCGGGAAGTACCGTTTGGCCACCGACGATTGGCGCAACAATTGCCATTAAAGCCAAATGGCGCAACAATCGCCATTAAAGCCAAGTATAACAAGAGATTCACATCGATTACCTTCCCTAAAGCTCCCATCTTTTGAATCTGATGAGAATTACAGAAAGAGTCGTTGACTTGGAAAAAACC